TTTCTTTCTTTCTTTCTTTCTTTCTTTCTTTCTTTCTTTCTTTCTTTCTTTCTTTCTTTCTTTTTTGCTTTTGAAAATAGAGGTCTTGCAAAAAATTTTTGAACTAAACCAGACTCTAACATAATACACTGAGTTCTAAAGTCTATAGAATTATTTGTAAACACTTAATACTTATTTTTCCTCACAGACGTTATTTCTCTTAGATTTTAGGAAATGAATGAAAATAAAATTATTTTAAAGTAGCTTTAACAAAGCTGATATGCATCTACAATGCTGAGGCAAACATTTAAGGGAAGGGAGTGCCTCCCTTGTTGCTGAAATTCCAATTCTCAGGATTCTCCTTGATCTTTTTTGGATTGAGGTTTTTCACATAATGCTAATATTCAAATATGCTTCCTCATACTTTATCATCTCAGTTTCCTACAGAGCAAAGAAAGAAAGGTAGATCTAAGAGTGGACCTCCTACTCAACACCCATTAGAATAGCTGTGGAGCTACTAGAATAAATGTGCAGCAGCTGGAACTCTCATACCCTACCAGTTGGAATGTCAACTGGGACAGCCACTTTAGAAAACAAGTTTCTTCAAAAGTTAAACCTACGTGTAACCCAGCCCTTCTCCCCCTAGGAGTTTACTCAAGGAAAATGAAAGCATGTGTTCCCACGCAGACTTAACACATGAGTGCGTATAGAAACTTTATTCCTAATAGCCAAAAATGAAACAGTCTAAATACTCATCAAAAGGTGGACGGGTAAACAAATTGTGGGACATTCATACAGTAGAATACTACTCAGCAGTAAAGGAGTGAGCTGTTGACACAACAATTTGGATGAATCTCAGAAACATTATGCTGACCAGAAACCGCCAAACTGAAAGGGGGCACAAGGAAAACTTTGGGGACAATGGAATTGCCTATGCCTTTCTTTTGTTAATGGTTGGACCAATGTATTCATTTAGTACATTTTATGTCAAAGATTCATAAACAATAGGCTAGAAATTGTCCCCATTTGGCACAATCTCGATTCAGAAGCCTGAAATGAGCAGACAGTTGGAGTTTAAGAATTCTTTTCACAGAATTTATACCTAAAAGCCTATTCTTTTTTGTTTTTTTCACTTTTTTTTTTACTTTATTGAGGAACATTGTGTTTTCCACAGGACCCATCAGCTCCAAGTCAAGTAGTTGTTTCAATCTAGTTTTGGAGGGTGCAGCTCACTGGCTCATGTGGGAATCGAACCAGCAACCCTGGTGTTGTGAGCCCATGCTGTAACCACCTGAACCAACCAGCCGCCCCTCTAAAAGCCTATTCTTAACTGAGGTTCTACTTTTAGAAATCTTGATATACTCAAGGTCAGTTAACTGGTGAATAAAACATTTGTTAGCATATTCAAACTTCGTTGGAGACACTTATTCCTCCATGCTGTTGTCTGTCTTAGTTGTGCATGATGGTTCCTTTACTGTATCTTTCATGGCAGTTATAAATCCAAGGCATTAGGTTAATAGGAATGGAGAGTTTTAAGGTCAGTCAGATTGGAAAAAGAGTTAAAAGAAAACATTACCAAGCTTTATGTTTGGCACCACAGAATGACAATCTTACAAAGATATTTCATCCGTTCCCTAGAAAATGACCTCATTTGCAATGACTTCAGAATCCAACAGTGGATCTCAACAGATATAAATCAATACAGAAATGCCTATACCTTAATAATGATTGTGATCACAAGAATGTCTCTACATTTATCGAAGCTCATTGAAATGCACTCTTAAAATTAAATGCATTTATTTACTGTATGTAAATTATACTTCAGTGAAGTTGGAAAAACCTACTAAAGAAAAAGTAATAACCCGCTTCAGTACTGATAGTCGCATCAGCTACATTTTATGTTTTAGGATCGGTATACAGAAATATTTTAAATCTGGGTGAATAGCACCATAACTTTTTACTTGGATAGAATGAAATTTCAAGGAGCTTATTTCTCTTTCATTGGCCCCATAAATGATACATAAGCAAGTTAACCGATTGATTGGATTCTATGAAGAACATTTAATTTGATGCCCCCATATTTTGAACCAGACTGCAAGGAGAATGAGAGAGACCACAGCAGTTTCCATATTTACTTCTCTTGGAGCTTCTCATATATTTTAGCAGCAGTCATAATTATTTGCAAGAGATGCCATCGTATGCCAAATTCTGAGAACACAAAGGAGGTTTTGTTCCTTCGCTTTCTTCAATGCTAATAATTTCAATCCTGCACAGACACCAGAAGAGGGACTCATGGAGTGTATTAGAAATAATGAGCTCTGACTAGGAGTAAATGTACTAAACAGCTCGCTGGAAAGATCTGCCTAGCATTCATGCAGTGAGGGGGGTCATTAATTGTCACACATGCTCGCAGTCAGAAGTCATTATTGGTTACGTAAACCATTTTTAGTGGCACATATGCTATAAATATATACATTTAAAAACCCAGGCAACATCAAACCTGTTTGCGACAGCTGCTGAGTCAGTGACTTCAACCAAGCTTTGATCTTGCTGAATCCCTTTGGGCCCAAAGCCCCTCTCTTCCTCCTCCTCCTCCAGTTTCCATCCTGCTGTCAAGACTCCAAGTAAATTCCCTTTGTTACATGAAGCCTTCTTTGACCTTTATGATATCTCTTCTCTCAATTCATGTGACACCTGAAATTGGTACTGTTCTTTTAACAAATAATTATATTTTTGGCAGCTCTTATGTTAAATTGTTTTGGACTTCTGTAACAATTTACTATTTCACGTGATTATTTTTATTAATACAAATTTTTTTTTGAACAATAATTTCTCTTCAGGGGCAGGGACCATGCCAAATACTTTTAAATTTTTCCTATAATGCATAATACAGGATCTTGTATAAATAGATACTCAAGATATTCTTAACAATACGTATTTAAAGGATATTTTTATTCTCTATCATCACCAAGAATATAGCCAAGTAAATTATTCTTTGTTACAGAATTTTGACTTTTCCTCTTCCAGTTTATTTCATTTGATGTTAAAATTTCAGTTTATATCTTGTTCAAAGTTAAAATCCTTTCAAAAGGTTTTATTTTTTAAAAACTCCGAAAGTTGAAAAGCTGCCATTCGTTTAGAATCTTGTGTTATGAGTGATGTAAAATAATGTACATTCATGTAATTTTTGTGCATAAAGGTAAGGAAAAATACCTGTTTACGGTATAGTTTTTTTAATCTTTTAAATTTTAAAAATTGATTTGTAGATATCAATGAATGCTTGGAAGATAACAGTGTTTGCCAGGGAGGAGACTGCATTAATACAGAGGGGTCCTATGATTGTACCTGTCCAGATGGCTTCCAGCTAAATGACAATAAAGGGTGTCAAGGTACTTCTCTCTTCTTCTTTAAGTTATAATTTACATGGCTCTTCAGTTCTTGATGCTTCCTGATGATGGTCTGTAGTTTTACCGCTTGCTTATATGTAAATGAGCTATGCCAATTTGTGTTGTTAAAATATCTTCCTTGGGTCTGCATCAAATATATACAGGTAGTTCTCCTCTGCACAGCACCTTGGTATTAACTGAACCACGTGTGTTTTAGAACTGTGTCCTCAGTTTGCATGCTGTGTGGGGACTGAGATCACAATTTGCTGTTTCTTCCATGAGCCAAACTTGGCACTTGATTCTACATGACCGCCACTCTACCTTTTTTATATCCGTCATAGGCATATTTTATTTTGTCCCATAGCTGATATTTATCTTTTTCTTTATCCCTATTTTTACCCAGTATTCAGGTTTTTCTCTTCTGAAAATATCCTCATTAATAATGTGACCAGAATTGTGAAAGACAGGATTTTATATTTTTTCAAAGCACTATCACATTTACTCTCCCAAACAACAGTACAGGAGACACAAGGGACTAATAAGAACACAACAGTAATTACAACAGCTTTAATCGAACACCTACTATGTGTTAAGTACTGTAGGTACCTCTTTAATTCTTACTGAATTTAAAAGGTAGATTTTTCTACAGCCATTTTGTGCATGAATAACTGAGTCTCAGAGAAGTTAATTAGCTTGCTCCTCCCTAATAAGCTGTAGGGCTTTGAACCCAGTATCTTTTTTTCACTGCTATTCCGTATATTGCCATGCCAGTTATTACTGAATTTACAGCCACAAGAAAGAAGACTGTGAGACTCAGTTATTTTCCCCAGGGCAACACATCGAATCATTGTTGATGCTGAGACTGAAAAATCAGATTGTGTAGATCCTGTGTCTCAACATTTTTAGCTATACCTGGCTGCCCCACTAGTTTTCCTTTATTTATTCGTCTTAGTAAAGCCATGCCCATTTTTTCTATGGAAAACACACACTGATAGTTATCTTGACGCATACTGATTTCTGATTCTTGCATAAATATTTTTTATTGTTCCTTTGACATTACGGAGCTCTGTAGTGTTTCCCAAAGTAACATATAAATAAAGGGTTGTTGAAGTTATTCTTTATCCACTACGACTGAACGTGTATGACTTTTTTATTCTGGATTGTCATAACATGTATCTCCTCTTCCATGTCCCAAATCACAGTATTCTTGAAAGGGAAGATGGCATTTACTCTTTAAGAAGTAGTAGTGGAATAATATTGTACTCTATATCCATATCATTATCCATACCCAGCTGTGTATCACTGAGATACAAAAAATGTGGGCCTTTGCCTCATGATCTTTTAAAATTAAAATCCCCTTACTGATCTCAAGATTTAAATACAGTACTGTGTACCTCATTTTGTGTCATATATTTGCCATCATGATTCTATAAGGTGAATTGAAGTTTTTCAGTATTTCCAGTGCAGAATTTAAAGGTACTTGGACTTAATGCAATAGAGAAGGAACATTTGAATTAGAAATTTATGTGAGAATATTTATTTTGGGACTTTTACATCTTAACAGAATGAACCTTGATTTATATAAAAATGTCAAGAAATGCTCCAAGAAAAACCAAACAAACAGACAATCTGAATCCTGCTTTTATTATAGACTTTTTGGCTTAAAAGCAGTATTGTCTGAGATCTCTTGTCACACTTTTTTTGACAGACTAGAGGTGAAACCAAGTCTTAGCATAAATTTGGATTTGATATTGCATATTTTACTATTCAACATCTAGAGTTAAATCACAAGGAACTAATTTAGTCACCTGACTCATTAATTGCACTGCCATCTTCTCTCAGTATGCTAAATTTGTTTGTGATAATATGTGACTGCTCTAACCATATGTTTTATTGACTATCATTATTAAGTTAACTTCATTGGTGATTGCTGTTTTCCAGAATAAATTAATATGGCTGCTTAAAATATTTTAAATCCAAATAAATAAAAAGTATTGCTGAAGCATGTTTTAATACTGTTTAAAGAATATCATCTATGACTCTGCTCTATCACCCACTGTCTTCTATCGAGGCTATTTATGATGTCATTTACTCACCTTGTTTTGAATCATCTTTGTTTTCTCTGCCTCTGGAGGAAACTTTGTGATCTTGCACTCCACTTAAAGTTAGTAGCCTGTTTCTGCCTAATCCCATGGTCATGTCAACATTCTGTAGACGGGTGTGGATTTCAGAGTTTGTTTTAATGCCAAAAATGTAATTGATAAAACAATGCAAATAACCATGGGACATGTTTGAATAGCAATGTGTGATAAGCATAAACTTTAAACCTTACCTAATAATATGAAGAAAGTTCCATATCAGTAAGGCATTTTCAAATGGAAGTGTGTTTAAGAGTCTCTTCCCCCAGCAAAATTAATGATGATATACAGACAGCATGGAAATTCCATAATCGTCTCTTCAGGAATGTGGCAGCCTACAGTTGAGATCCAGAACACACTTCAGTTTCACGTTTTGATCTACACATGCCAGATTGTGAATTTCTGTGGAATCTCGGACCCATGAAAGAAACCCAACTTAAATATAGTCTGGCTTTCAGCTGAGTTACTAGCAGCATAGTTCAGAAATGCCTCAATAAGAACAACCCAAATTGAATGCATATGTTTCTTTAGTTCCAGATATTCTTGTTGTTCTTTCTTAGTGGTTTCCTGGAAAAAAGTCTGGGAATTCATTTTCAGTTCCTGTCATCAAACTTTTTATACAATTATTTGTTAATCAGTGACTTCTCTTGAAGCAAGAACTTTATATACATTATTCCCTGTGAGAAGTTGAAAACCGGGCAGGCTTTAAATGGATCCGTTGAGTCACGGGATAAAATAAGGGGGTGGTCTCTGATAATCCCTAGGGTTTTGCACGATGGATGTGGACCTTGGCCTTGATCTCTAGACCAGTGGAACTTTTTGGCACCTTTTTGTTCAGGTAAAGGTAGCTCTAGTCAGCAGATTGGAAAGAAACAATAAACGAAAGGCCAAGAGAAAGGTCAAAGTTCAAAAGCGATTACCAACCTAAGATATTGTCAGTAGTTAGAGAACAAACATAGAAGATAATCTGAGGTTTTTATAAAAAGTGAACAATTTTTCAATGTGACATTATATTGAGAAATAGTTAAGCAGAAAATGATTCATTCCTCTTCCTTGAAATATTTTAAAATCAGTGACAATAACAAGAATGGAAGCATTTTTATGAAAATGAGTAATTCCTGCGTGGTTTCTTATTTGTTTCTTATTTTGATTTGGCAATGGATAGGCCAACTAGTCTGAATTCTATGGCAGATGGAAGGGTAAAGAGTTCAGGATAATACAGAGAGATGGATAAATCAGTGATATCGCCAGAATTCTTGTTGCACAATGAGATCAAGAAGGTAATAAAAAAAAAATTTTAAATAAGAGCCCCAGGTGATTCTGGAGGTAGAGATGGGGATGACTTCCTTGCAGAAGAGGATGTCAGGGTTGGCAGCTAAGCATGTTCTAGAGATCACTAGGAAGGGCTCATGGCTTTGCAGCGATTCATGCCAGTTTCTGCCTCCCCTGTTATATTGTGAGCTTCCTAATATCAGGGGCCTTATCTTTTTCAACCTTCCCATAGGAAGCATTCAGTAAATGTTTTTAATTGCATTAAAGATGGACTTGAGGATGTATCCAGGACCTCTTTAGTAAGAGATAAAGGAGGGTCTAGAAGACTTCAGGAAGATAGGAAAATGACCTCAGTAGGACTACTTTCCTTGATGGTGCAGAGGACCTGTGATAGTTTTTATGACCCCAATATTTTTTTCTTTTTCTGTTTGCTTTTGCTATTTCCTTTGGTTTTTGGGTTTGTTTGTTTGATTTTAGTATTTTTTTCTTTATTTTTGAACTTTTTTTTCTTTTTAACCCAAATTAACTAAGAAACCCTTTGTCAGTCAAGATTCCGTTAGTAGGGTATGAACATAACTGAAATTTTGTGGTGGACAAACATTCATAATGCACTAGTAATGTGCTGTGCTAGAAGCTGGGGACTCAGAGTTAAAATATACTGTTCTCCTCAAGAAGCCATCAATGTAGCAAGGGGCACAGATGAGTAAACCAATTAAAACACAGTGTGAATAGGCAGTTGTGTGTGTTAGTATGAACAAATGAACCATTCTCCAGGATTCGTAGTTTGTCATCTTGGGTACTCCTCATCAATGTAATTAGGACTGCTCTGAAAGAATATTATACTTACACCAAACACGTCATGCTTTGTCGCTGTTCAAGTATGTTGTGTCTCTGGCCATGGGGAACATAATCACTCTTCACAGGGGACAAGCGAGCCAAGTGTGCGATAGGCAACCCAAGTTGAACTACAGCATGATTTGCTTGCGAGTTGTACCAATAGAAACTACCATTTTTTGATCCTCAGTTGGGTGTTAGGTTCTGCAGTAAACAGTTGACCTTCATTCACCCATTTCATCATCACAAAGCTCTGCAAATAATCAGAACCTCCTGGTCTAAAAGGCCTTCTAGTTCTTGTATTTTCTTTCTTTTATCCATTTTCAGTGAAATATAGATTGGAGTCTGTTTCATTCATGTAGTCAGCAGACACTTGTGAAGTACTGTTTATGAACCAATCACTGTAAATAAGACATGCAAGCTGTGCCTTTATGAAGTTCATGTCCTAGGGTTCCACAGGTATATGACAAGGTCCATGAGCTATAACAGATTTGTGGGCATGGCATTGGAGAAGATAGGGGCAGACACAGCTTTCTCACTGATGAAGAGTATTGCACAGAGAAGTTGTTGATTCTATCAGACTCCTCAAGTCTCCAGTATTTCTAAAATAAGGGTAGCTTTGGGTTAAAACTATGAAATTGCTTTTTCTGGTAGGCCGAAAATGGTTGAACATTGGCTATTTCATATGATTCATCCTAAATAGTTTCTCTCTCAAGGCAATCCAACATGTCTTAGGGTTCAGTTTATGTACAACTGATGTAGCTGTGCCACCAACAGTAAGTTGGTGGCACATTTTGTAATCAATTTCTTTACTGTATGTACATTTGATATCATGGGAAAACAAACCAGATTTTTTTCAAGGATATGGCACTGTCTTTTCAATTCCAGACATTAATGAATGTGAACAGCCTGGACTCTGTGGTCCTCATGGAGAGTGTCTAAACACAGATGGTTCTTTTCACTGCGTCTGCGAACAGGGTTTCACAATCTCTGCAGATGGCCGTACTTGTCAAGGTAAGGTAAACCATAAGAGATTGTCGTTATTGCATGATAAGGCAGAGAGGAGATTGCTTTCTGTTTAAACAAGCAAAGACGCTAAGAGATAACTCACAACTGAAGGCCTCCAAGCATGTATGTGGGAAGCTGACTCCTCCCAAACTGTAGCTCAGAGTTGCTGGGGTTTACACATAGGATAACTTAAGGTTGTGATGGTGAAAATGCTCACGGATGATTTCACTACTAGCACTGAATTAATGAGTCAGAATGCGCAGGTGATGACCCAAAGGAAAACTGGCAGCTGCCTGGGTGTAACCTGAGACTGCGCCTGTTTTGGATTGTTTTTCATATAGATAGTCTCCATCATTCTGTTTATAAAAATAATGCCTTGCTTGATTTCTCAGCACCATTGTCAGCAGCGATTTTCCAGCGTTATTCCTCTAATATCCTTAGTTGTTAGCCCATCTGTTTTCTTACCTGTCAGTGTTTATTATTCCCTAAAAGCTAATTAAGATTACTGTTGGCTTCCTATTTGCAACCTCTGTATGTTTGCAAGGATACCACACTGCTTATATTCATAAGATTTATGTTCCTGATGGCATTAGAGTTTGATCTACTGAGGAGTAATTCATCTGATCCTTTGTAAAAGTAAACTGAGGAGATTCCCATAATCATCACTTTCAGAATCTAGGTGATAAAAACCCAGCTCTGTTTTAAAGAAGTAAATTGCGAAGGATCTGTTCTGGGCCTATGACAGTACCCAAATTCTTTGCTCTAAAAAATAGTGCAACAGGAAATATCTGCTCCCCTGCTCATACCACAGTGGAACCAGGCCGAGGAACAGAGACCAGGTTCATCTGAAACTAATTACTATATTGGGAGGAATAAACTGATCTTATAAAAAGCAGGAGATTGCTGAAATTGCTCTCCTGCTGAGCAGACAAAACATTGATGCCAGATTTGACTTCCAGTGAAAAAGAGATAGTGCAGGATGAGGTTTGAGCGAGCAGATTTTAGAGGGGTTTGGAAGCGATCAAAAGTTGGGAAATGGAGAAAAACATCATAAAAAGGTGGCCATGAGAGATTTACAAGAACTCCATATTTCCGTGGCTCGAGTTTTATGTTAATTTTATGCTCAGAGCTCTGAGGCTAGAGCTCTTCAGAAAGACACTGCATGAATGCATACATTCTTCTGGAGAGATCACAGCATCGAGTCACTGATGAAACCGATTTGCAAAATGCACATTTCCCCGCCTTCCAGAAAGACGCAGGTTGGCTTCTTCAGTTAGCTCTAAATCAGGGCTGGTAAGGGCTTCCTTCACTGAAAAACAGTCCAAGTTATAACTGCCAATGGTTGTGCCATGCAAAAACTATGTTAAAAAAAAAGTCACCTCAAGTGCTCGCTTGTCAAAACTACCATTCCAGAAGGATATACTAATATAAATATATTCACATTTATTGTTGTCTTTTGCATTTAGTAATTTTCCTTTAATTCTGTATCTTTTTTAATACAGATTTCTGTAACTTGAGAGTTATATATAATCACTAATTTAGCTGCAGTTCTAATTTTGTTAGGCATTTACTTGGTAATTTACTTGGTAACAACTTCAATTTAAAAATGAGTGTTTAGAAAACTAGTGCTTTGTGAATTACTGTACCTGACACTTGGTATTTTTTTTACTCCAAAAACTGGACAATTTTATAAGTAATAAAACAGGTAGTTTCGAATAGTTTGCTGATATACGGCAGTGTATCTAGAAATCTTTCTAATTGTTAGCCATGTTATTCTCTTTCTAGAATAAACTCTGCAAGGCTTTCATTTATTATGGGTTTAATCCAGTATGTTAAATTGGTCCAAATTTTCTTTCGTTGGACTGAAACTTGTGGCAGTAGGAGTGTGTCCTGATTCTACCCCTGGCTGTGGTGTAGAATAAAGCCAGCCCCCATGTGACTGGGATTTAGCTATGAAGCCTCTATGCATAACACAGTAGGTCCTCAAATACCGTCATTTTGTTATAACATTGATGAGATGCCATAGGAACACAACTCTTGTTTATATCAATTAGCCTACAGTAATATTCATTTCATTATACATCGTTTCACTTCGAGTTGTGCAACATATTGACGACATTAAGTGAGGACTTACTGTACTTGAATTAACATTGAGAAAGGGGCTGGAACTCTTACTTCATACTCATCCAACTTCTGAACTCCTGGTTAAAGCTACTGAAGCCATGTTGACACTAGGGCTGGCACAGCCTGCTCTAAGCAGGGCTAAATGAATCCCACCCAGCTGAGGGAAGGAGTGCCCTTCCATAATTTCCCATGGCTTGGAGAGTTGTCAGCTCTGGTCACAGTTACTGAACTACAGTGAAGAGGCAGACTCTGTCAACATACACTATCCCAAGTATCAAGTAGCACAGCAGATTCTGTAGAAATAAAAACAGCACCACTGGCTCCTGCCTTTCCGTTCTCTGTGTGGTGCTCAGGGAACACGTACCTGGAAGAGGAAGGAGAAACACCTTCCCCCACACGAGATAAAGAACAACAGTGTTATTTGAAGTTCAACTGGAGTGCAGTGGGAAGGAGGTGGTGGGTGAGCATCTATTTGATTAATTTATTCATTCACTCAACAAATATATACAGAATCCCTATCTTGTGCCCTCACTGTTACTGGTCTGAGGGCAAAACACACATTGTTCTTGTCCACATTCCAGGAAGGGAATTGGGGGTAAATAAGTAGTACATATAGAAAATTGTTTTTGTATTAAATAATATAACAGTTATACTTTATGGATATAAATAAGCACCATCTGAGGTCAGACACTTAAGTTTGTGAACTGGTTGCAATGATGTCGCTAACCTTTTTTGATATCAGAGGGATTATTCATTATGAATTTGTACCAACTGGACAAACAGTTAACCAAGTTTACTATTTGGAAGTGCTGAAAAGGCTGCGTGAAAAAGTTGGACCACCTGAACTTTTCACCAACAATTCATGGCTCTTGCATCATGGCATGGCACCAGCTCACATGGCGCTGTCTGTGAGGGCGTTTTTAGCCAGTAAACAAATAACTGTATTAGAACACCCTCTCTACTCACCTGATCTGGCCCCTAATATGACGACAGCTCTGATGGCCATTCCAGATAAAAGAGTTCCAGAATTGCTTTGAAGGGTGGACTAGGCGCTGGCGTCGGTGCATAGCTTCCCAAGGGGAGTACTTTAAAGGTGACCATAGTGATATTCAGCAGAGGGGTGCAGCACCTGTTCTAGGATGAATTCACGAACTTCATTATGTTCTTTTCCTCAAGTCCCACATGTGGATGTCAGAAAAGTGCAGGGAGCAGGACCCTTTTGATTGACTTTCTCCTTTATATGCTCTTTCCTTTCTTCTCATAACTGTGGTTCATTTTCGCCTGCCACCTTCTTGCATTCTGTGGCCAGAGCTTTTATCTTATGTAGAAAAGCAAAGGAAACTTTTTACTTCTTTCACTCAGCTCACTATTCTATGTCCAGATTTATCTTATCCATTTTTTTTTAAATCACAATCCTTTTGCTGTTTTATTTTTCTCATTTTTTATTGTGGAATTTTAATTCATATGAAAAATATCCTCTCATTTATACAGTGACTCAGGCTTTGGTTTCCTCATCAATAGTGAGTGAGAGAAGAACAGGGAAATTTGTGACAGTTAGATTCCTAAGTGTCACCACGTCTGTCCCCTGACGCCGGTGGAAACATATCCCCTGGTCTTTGACATTGCATCACTCTGTCCACGTGCCTCTGCATACGGCTCTCAGCCAGGGGCAGCTGTGCTCGTTGGGCCTCTAGGCTGAGTGGGAGTCTGTATCGCAACAAATGGAGTTGGGGGCATATCTCTCGACCTCAGTATGCTTTCCATCCTGTTGACACACTAGAATGGCCGTGCTGGTCTAGCAGGGACCTCTAAGGAGCCCAACAAATGCAAAGGGCATGCTAGTGGCTTACAATACCTAGTTAGTCATGGCTAATTAGGACTCCAGACCATGACCCAAATCATTCCCTAAAGCCCTGTCTTTTACAAAGCATCCTCATTCATTCATTCAGTTGACAAATATTTATTAAATGTCTGTATGCTGTCTGCCAGCCAGTACCTGTTCTAGGTACTGGGGCTATGTCAATGAACAAAAAAAGATCCCCCACTTTCTTGAAGGCAATAGACTAATAAGTAAACTACATAATATGTTAGAAAGGGATAAACCCTATGGGGGGGGAAGTAGAGCAGAGTGAGGGGGACCTACGGGCTGGAACAAGGATTGGGAAGCTGGTACAATACGACTGAGGGTGGCCAGAATGGGCCATTCTGCCTCACTAATGTGGGTTTATGAAAGAAACATTAAAATTTTGTGTCTGAGTAACAAATGAAGCCATGTTAAGTGCCTTCCTTTTTCAAACTGGTCGTCCATTGGGTTAAGAGATAATAGCTTGTCAATAAATAGACAAGAGGCATGAGATGGTCTGTGGAGGGCCTTTTTCCCATTGCCAACATGAATTCTGTTGTCCAGACAGGGAGTAAAAAAGGAGAGTACAACATCAAGAGCCAACCCTAATGTACACTGTGGACTCTGGGTGATGATGATGTGTCAGTGTAGCCTCATCAGTTGTAACAAATGTATTCTCTGCTTCTGGGAGTTGATAGTGGGGGAGCCTGAGGGAGTGTCAGGGGTTTCCAGGAACAGGAGGATTATGGGTCCTTTCTGTGGAGTTTTACTGTGAACCAAAAACTGCCCTTAAAAATAGTCTGTTTTTCAAAATCAGACATTTCTGGAATTAACCTATTTTTCATCAGAAAGGAAAAATCATAACCTTTAATTTTAATTCGGTGTCCTACCCCTATATTTTCCTCTCCTGAATGTTGTTGTTTACTTCTCACTTTTCAAAATAATACCACAGAGGACTATGTGATCAGAAGCTTCTCTCTTTCAAAACCATCTTTCTCTTCTTTCAAACCCATTCTAATATTGATTCAAAAACTGAGAA